GGATGGATGGATGGGTAGATAAATGGATGGGTGGATGGATGGGTGAGTGGATGAGTGGATGGGTGGACAAATGGGTTGATGGATGGATAGATGAATGGGTGAGTGGGTGGATCGGTGGGTGGGTGGATAAATGGATGGGTGGATGGATGGATGGGTGAGTGAGTGGATTGGTGGGTGGATGAGTAGATGGATTGAAGGGTGGATAGATAGATAGGTGTATGGACAGGTGGATGGGTGGTGGATGGAAGGAAGGAAGGATGAGTGGTAGGTGGTTTACGAGTGGAGGAAGCCAAGGTGGAAGGTGGTTGGGTGGCAAGATAAATGGATGCCTGGGAGGGCCGACAGATAAATAGGTAGATAGCTGGCTGGGGGCGTGGTTGAGTGAGCAGGTAGAGGGCGGCTGGAGGAAGGAAGAAGGCGGTGAAGCGGGTGCTCCCGACATCTGCCTGCATCCTCCTCACGAGCGGTCGGGAAGGGTCCCTAGGCTCGGGGCCTGACAGCTGTGGCTCCCGGTCCTGGCTCTGCCCTTCATTTCTGTGTGTTTTTGGTCCCGCTGCTCTGCTACTAGCCTAGAATCATGGCAGGGCCCTTAAAGTAGGTCGGACACTTGGGTGTTGGCCTAGCTGCTTGGAGGGAGACCCTCACTCAGGGCCCCCACTGTGGTGCACCCATATGGGGTGCCAGGATTGAACTAGGTCAGCCACATGCAAGGCAAATGCTCTACCCGTTGGGCTACTACTACATTCCGCAGAAGAGGGTCGTTCTGGCCCGCATCTGGCAGGGGGGTGTTGGTGGGGTACATGGTGCCAGGGACTGAAAATGAACCCATACCCATTGAGCTAGTGCCCCACCACCAGACACCCCCTTTCATGAAAAGGACCCAGGTTGTCTTAGAGCCCAGTTCACACAGCAGACCCCCTGCCTCCCACCCCCTCTTCTTGTTGGAGGTACAACATCTGGCAGTGTTCAGAGCTTGCTTCTGGCTCTGCTCAGGGGTCACCCTGGGTTTGTAGTCTACATTCTGGGGTCCCTTTGCAGTTCGCGGGTTTGCTGCCTGCCAGCGAAATGCCTCACCCTGTGCTACCTTCTCTGCACCTCCATCCCATCCTGACTCTTTTGTTTTTTTGGGGGGAGACACACTGGTGGTGCTCAGGACTGACTCCTGGTTCTGCACTCAGGAATTACTCCTGGCGGTGCATGGGGGACCCCATCGAGCCTGGGTCAGCTGTGTGCAAGGCAAGCAACCCCCTGCTGCCCCAGCCGCCCTCCACCCTGACTCTTCACTCAAATGCAGCCATGACTCTTCCCACAGTCATGGTCTGAGGGGCTGGAGCCATCGTCCAGTGAGTAGGTTGCTTGCTGTGCATGCAGCTGACCCAGGTTCGATCCCCTGCACCCTCCAAGAGCCTCTGATCCTTGAGCGCAGAGCCAGGAGTCAGCTGTGATCACAGCCGAGCATGGCCCCCAAACAAAAACACCAAAGTCAGAGTCTGAGGTCCTGGGGGATAGGAGTGGAACAGGTAAATCAGGGGGGTGGGGGATCCAGCCACTCTCCCTTAAGGGGAGCCCAGAGTGTCTGCCCTGACTGGTGACCCAGAAAAGGCAACCAGCTGCTCTTCATTCTGACCCCTGAATGATAGAAAAAAGCTGGAGCCTGGGAGACGCATTTCAGCACCACGGACAGGGGCTGGCCAGCTGCAAATCTCCCCACATGGCTGTGTCTGGACTCAGAGATTCCTTGGGGCCGTCATTTCTGTCATTTCTCCCGGAGCCACACACTCCTGCCCTGTAGACAGAGCCCCAGAGATAGCGAGGGTCCCTGGAGGGAGGGCTTGGCTCCTGCAGCCTCAGGAACTACTCCCGGCTCAGTGCTCTGAGGCTGCTTTGGCGACGCTTGAGCTGGGTTCACCTGCTGGACAAGCATGCCTGGCACCCCTTTAAGCCCTCCCCAGCCCTTGAAGTCCCAATTATTTTCTTTTTTGGGTCACACCCGGTGATGCATAGGGGTTACTCCTGGATCATGCACTCAGGAATTCCTCCTGGCGGTGCTTGGGGGACCCTATGCTGGGTTCGATTTGATGCTGGGAATCGAACCTGGGTTGGCCGTGTACAAGGCAAACACCCTCCCCCGCTCTGCTATTGCTCCAGCTCCAGCCCCATTTTTTTGGTCTCACCTTGCAGTGCTCTGGGGTGACTCTTGGCTCTGCACTCAGGAGTTAGTCCTGGAGATGCTTGGGGAGGGACCCGATGGGATCAAACCCGGGTTGGCCGCGTGCAAGACAGACATCCTCCCCACTGTGCCGTTGCTCCAGCCCTGCAGACTCGTTTCCTCCCTGCCACATCTAATTTCCCTCAGGCCCATTTTCCCAGCTTTGCTTCTTGCTCCGAAGACCTCCACGAATTATATTCAGGAAACACAGTAGCACCAGCAACAGTGAAGGGGACTGGCCAACTGTGGGGAAAATCCATTTGCACCCTGTGTAGCCTCCGATGGCGAGGCACATGCAGAGCCCAAAGGAGTCGGGGGCCAGAGGAAGAACGAGCTGGTTGTCTGGGCGCAGGCTTTGCACACAGCCCAACGGGTCCATCCCTGGCAGTGTTTGCTTTCTTTTAGTTTTTAATTTTTATTTATATATTTTTTTTGCTTTTTGGGTCACACCCAGCGACGCATAGGGGTTACTCCTGACTCTGCACTCAAGAATTACTCCTGCTGGGCTCGGGGGACCCTATGGAATGCTGGGAATTGAACCCGAGATTGGCCGTGTGCAAGGCAAACACCCTACCACTGTGTAATCGCTCCAACCCCTAGTTTCTTGAGCATTGCAGGGAGTGATCTGGAGCATGGAGCTGGGGGCAGCCCCCAAGTGACACCAGGTGTTGTTCCCCCCACCCCGCCAAAGGGAAAGCAACTCCAGAACTCACATAGATCCTCAGCTTGGCGGAAGCCATTAGGAATGCATACAAACACCTTCGAGAGAAGGGCCAGAGCCATAGGACAGCGGGGAGAGCGCTTACCTTGCGTGCACATGACCCGGGTTCAATCCCTGGCATCCCACAGGGTCCCGCATGCAGAAGTAATTTCTTAGCATTGCCGGTGTGACCAAAAAAACAAAAAGACCCAAAACACCTCACTAAAGGTGGGTCTGGAGACAGCACAACAGGGAGGGAGTTTGCCTTGCATGTGGCTGACCCAGGTTTGGCTCCTGTACCCCATAGGGTCCCCCAAGTCCTGCTAGGAGTGATCCCTGAGCAGAGAGCCAGGAGTCAGCCCTGAGAACTTCCAGGCATGGCCCCTTACCCCGGTGAAACCCTCCACAGAGGCGCAGGAGAGACAGAGAGGACAGCTTGGCTGGATGCAGGCCTTACTCGCCACTGACCCGGGTTCCGTCCCTGGTACCCCATAAGGTCCCCTGAGCACCCCCAGGAGTGATCTGTCAGCAAAGAGCCAGGAATCACCTCTGCACACCACGAGGTGTGACCCCAAATAAACAAAAAGCCCAAGAAGACCTCAATGGAAGGGCCGGGGAGATACAGAGGCCAGGGCTACTGGCCTTGCATGCTGCTGCCCCCTGTCCACCCCAGGTATGCCAGGAGTGACCCCTGAGCACCACTAAGTATGGCCCCAGAAAGATAAAAGTTGGGAGGGACTCTCAGACCCCATTAATATATGTACGTGTGTGGGGAGGTACATGTGTGTTACCTAAGAATGGTCTGGCCACCCTGGGGTCTCATAAGTGTTGGGGGCTCCCAGGGGTGCCTCAGCCTCAGGGATATTGGCCCAGTGACATCGACCTCAGGGATATCGGCCTCAGGGATATCAGCCCCAGCACATGTCCTACCCCGAGGAGAGGGGCTGTGACCTCTCAGGAAAGAGACTTGGAGACACTCAATTGAAACTGAACTTGCTCCTTAGAAACAGCGAGTCTGAGGGGCTGGAACAATAGTGCAGTGGGGAGGGTGTTCACCTTGCACACGGCCGACCCAGGTTCAACCCCCAGCATCCCATAGGGTCTCCTGAGCCCTGCCAGGAGTGATTCCCTGGGCACCGCCGGATGTGCTCAGCCTCCCAAATTTAATAACAAAAAGAATAACAAGTGAGTCTGGTACAGGAGAGGTTGGATATGGTCTGGGCACAGGCCTCAGCCAGCGCCTGATGCTGGGTCCATCCTCAGGATCTTGAGCATCTCTGGGTGCATCCCTAGAGGCCTCCAAGCACCGTCGGGACCACTCCTGCCACGATGCATCATAAAGCCACAGGAGCCATTGCCCAGTGGAGAGACGGTGGTGGGACCAGGGACATCTCACAAGGATGCAGCTCGGGTGTCACTAGGGTGGCCTGGGATGGGACCTCAATGCTGTGTGGGGGGAGGGGGAGACCCCCTGTCACCCTTAGGGCTGCGACTCAGTGGTGAAGCACAGGCCAGGCATGCGAACCATGCGGGACCCTCCCTCACACTTCCGGGCCACATCAATTATTTATTCTTTTTTTTTTTTTTTTTTGCTTATTGGGTCACACCCGGAGATGCACAGGGGTCACTCCTGGCTCATGCACTCAGGAATTACTCCTGGTGGTGCTCAGGGGACCACATGGGATGCTGGGAATCGAACCCCGGTCGGCTGCATGCAAGGCAAACGCCCTACCCGCTGTGCTATCGCTCCAGCCCAGCCCCCCCCACATCAATGATTTAAGCATGAAACTTCCTCCATAATCCTCGTGGCATCAGGAACTGGAACCTTCTCCCCTTCCCCCAAGGGGTTCTGTCCCAGCAGACAACAGCCCTTCCCTTCTGGCCCCCATCTTCCTGCGGGGGCTCCTTGGGGGGTCTCTGGCTCACGTCCTTTGTCAGGTCGTCCCACGGAGTAGCGGGATACGGTGTCATCCCCTCTTTGCCTGAGAACGGTCCCGAGTACCCACAGAGGGGCCCGCCTGCCCCTCTGGGCCACCAGAACTGTGTTCAGCTGACCCGTGAGCCCCTCTCTGACCCTGTCTCTCCCCTCAGGTTGTGCCTTTCTTACCTACTGTGCCCGGGACTCCGCCATCAAAGCTCAGACCGCCCTGCATGAACAGAAGACCTTGCCCGGGGTGAGTCCTGGGTGCCAGCTCAGGCATGGGGGGCTTGAGGGTTTGTCCTTCGGCCGCGGGGAGGCCGGAGCCCTTCCTGGATGCATGTGCATCTAGACAGAGAAAGGACAGAAATGATCGACAGCGTGAGCAGTGATTGAGCGCCTGATAGGTACAGGTGTGAGCACTGGTTGAAGTGGGAGCAACTATTGGACACTTGCTCTGTGCCAGAGTAAGCAATGATTGAGTGCTTGCCGTATGCCACAGTGCACCTTGAGTACCTGCTGTGTGCCGGCGTGAGCAACGATTGAGCACCTGCTGTGTGCCAGAGTGAGGAGCAATTGAGTGCCTGCTGCATGCCAGAATGAGCAATGATTGAGTGCCTGCAGTATGCCAGCATGCGTGATGATTGAGCACCTTCTGTATGCCAGCGTGAGTAATGGTGGAGCGCCTCTGTGAGCGTTGATTGAGTGTCTGCTGTATGCCAGCACAAGCAATGATTAAGCACCTTCTGTGTGCTAGCATGAGCACTGACTGCCTGTCCATACCCCACCTTAAGCCACACACCAGAGAGGTAGTGTGTGTGGTTGTGCAGACAGTTTGCTGTACAAGGGTGTCTGGCCTTTAGTGTGCAAGTGTCGTGGGGCTGAGACTCACAGTGGGAGGAGGCATTAGCAGGCAGAGGGCAGGTAGCTGGTGCAAATGGCCTGGGGCAGGACCATGCTTGGTGTGGGGGAGGAAACCGAGTAGGAGGGGTGAGTGGGTAGGGGACAGAGCAGGACTGGGGGTTCTTGAGGAGGAGTCCGGTTGCTTCTCAGCACGGAAAGGAAGTTGTTCCTAGGCGGACTCTCTCTGGCACTGCTGGGGGTCACCAGGCGACCTCGCAGTGCCGGGGATGGAGCTTGGGATGGGACCCACAGTTCCCGTCCTGGAAGACCTAGAGGGTCACGTGGTAGGTTTGGTTTTATTTTTGGTTTTTTGCTTTTCAGGTCATATGGTGATGCTCAGGAATTACTCCTGGTAGTCTCAGGGGGCCATATAGGTTGTTGGGAATCGAACCTGGGTCAACCGGGTGCAAGGCAAACGTCCTCCCTGCTGTGCCATCGCTCCAGCCCCTGGTTTCATTTTTGGAGTCACACCTGGCAGTGCTACTCCTGGCTCTGTGCTCAGGGATCACGCCTGGCAGGGCTTAGGGGATCCTATGGGCTGCTGAGGATCTAACCTGAGTGGGCCGCGTGCAAGGCCAGTGTCCTCCCTGCTGTCCTGTCAGTCCAGCCCCAAGATGGTGACCTTTGTTTTGGGGCCATGATGTCCTCGAGAGCTACTCATGACTTGGTGCTCAGGATAGCATGCGTTGCTGGGGCTTGAACCCAGGCTCTCGTAGAAGCAAGACAAGTGCTCTAGCACGGAGCTGCTTCCTGGCCCACCCTGCTCTCGAGGTCTTTGCTCTGGGCTGGATGGATAGGACAGGGGTTGAGCCCTGCACATACCGGCCACCGTCCAGTCCCCGAGCACTGTCCATGTGGCCTGAGTGATGCCCAGCGCCTTTGGGCCTGGGCAGTGCCAACTCTTGGGCCTCATGTTAATCACCGGCCCAGTTGGCCGGAAGTGGCCCGAAGTTCCCTGAGCACCTCTTGAGAGGCTCCCCAAGACAGTTTTGGGGTCAGCCTCAGTCTCCTTTTGAAGAGTCTGGAGGCCCCTGCCCTGAAGGAAGATGCGACAGAAACCAAAGTGTGTTCATTGCTCAGTAGCAACTTGCTGTGTGACAGTCAGTCAGTGACTAAACCTCTCTGATCGCCATCACTGGAAGTGCAGAATGGGGCTTGGTATGTGTGTTTGGGCGGGGGGGGGGGGGGCCGGGCAGGGGGCGGAGTCTGTTAGAGGTGGTCGTGAAGGTCTTCGGGGAAATCGGCTTTTGAGAAAAGATGGGAACCGCAAGTAGGAAAGGCCCCCAGAAGGGGGCTCTGCACTTGGCGAGGTGAAGAACAGCACCAGATTTGCTCATTGGCCTTTGTCGTCAGATGGCACATGGGCACCGCTGCTTGCCAGGAGCTGGGGGCCTGGCCCAGGGGGACGGGTGGGCTTCGATGCTGGTGCTAGGATCAGCCCCTCCCTCCTCACACTCGGCGCCATGACTTGTGGCCTCAGTCCCTGGTGGAGACACTGGCACGTCTCTTCTAAGAGGTCTGATCCCTTGGCGGCATCAGGCAATGCCTCAAGCAGTACCCGACTGCCCCCCGCACTCCTTTGCCCCATTTTCTGAGGGATTACTAAGGTCCACAGTCAACCTCTTATCCATCTGTCCACCGTTCCACAAACCTATCCATCCATCTATCCACCCACCCACCCACCCATCCAGCTCTCTGTCCATCCATCTACCCATCCACCGATCCACCCAACCATCCATCCTTCCATCCATCCCTCCATCCCCCTACCCACCCACGCATCCCTACATCCATCCCTCCACCCACCCATCCACCCATCCATCCCTCTGTCCATCTCTCCATCCATCCCTCCATTCCTCCACCCATCCCTCCACCCATCCATTCCTCCATCCACCCACCTGTCCTTTCATCTACCCATCCATCCCTCCATCCATCTACCCATTCATTGATCCACCCAACCATCCATCCCTCAACCCATCCCTCCATCCCTCCACCCACCCATCCTTCCACGCATCCACCCATCCCTCCACCTATCTATTCACCCATCCATCCCTCCATCCATCCCTCCATGCCTCCACCCATCCCTCCACCCACCCATCCCTCCACCTACCCATCCCTCCATCCATCCCTCCACCCATTTATCCCTCCATCCACCCACCCATCCATCCACCCAAAAACAAAAAATTTTTTTAAATAAATTTGTTTAAAAACTGTGAGTGTTCTGGCTCAGAACTCAGGGCTTCACTTCCAGCAGTGCTTGGGGGATAGTCCCGGGCAGGCACTGGACACCGCAGCCCCCACACATGCGAGGCAAGTCTCTACTCCGAGCCCTGCCCTGCCCCAGGAAAGGTGCCTGGTAGGTGGGAGTGCTGGGGTGAGGAGGAGGAATAGGAGGAGGAGGAGGAGGAGGAGGAGGAGGTGAGAGGGAGGGACAGGCACAGTGACCCTGGACGCAGGGCTGCGGCCAAGGGTGGGACACCCAGAGTGTGAGTATCTGACAAAGGAATAGAGGCAGGTGGTAGAGATGGTCTCAGTGGGGTGATGTTGGGGACAGTTTTGGACTTGGAGATGTTACGACCAGGTAGTAGGAGGAGGGGCAGGTAGAGACTCTGATTAACAGCCCCCAGAGCCATAGATGGGGATCCTCCCTCCCCCCGCCATCAAGGAGTTATCAGGCGTTTCATTGACAGCTGAAAGACCCAGGGGAGTAAGCAGCTGGCAAATGTTGTAGGGCAGAATGTTCTAGAGCACCTCGAATGTTCTAAGAGAAATATAGCACTGCACTGTCCTCCCGTTGTTCATCGATTTGCTCAAGTGGGCCCAATAACGTCTCCATTGTGAGACTTCTTGTTACTGTGTTTGGCATATTGAATAAGTCACGGGTAGCTTGCCAAGCTTTGCTGTGGGGACAAGATACTCTTGGTAGCTTGCCGGGCTCTCCGAGAGGGGTGGAAGAATCGAACCCGGCTTAGCCAGGCTGGCCACACGCAAGGCAAACGCCCTACCACTGTGCTATTGCTCCACAGCACTAAACTCTTCTAGAAGCACCATTTAATTTACTGGTTTTGTTTTCACTCTTTGGAGGGGGATCAGGCCACCCTGGAGATGCTCACAGGCTTCGCCTGGTTCTGGGCTACTCCCAGCTCTGTGCTCACCCATCCATCCACCCACCCATATAACCACCCACCATCCATTCATCCACCCATCCACCCACCCATCCACCCATTCATCCATCCATTCATCCATCCATCCACCCACCCATCCACCCACCCATCCACCCATCCACCTACCTATCCATCTGTCCATCCATCCAGGCTACACCTGGTTCTGTGCTGAGGGGTTGCTCCTGGTAATACTCACTGATGCTCAGCGCTGGGGATCAGAGCTGGGGTTTGGCCTCCTGCACAGCAAGCGTGCAAACCCCTGTAGTATCTTTCAGCCCTACGAGCAGCATTTGCAAAAGGGAGAAAAGAAACAGGTGGAAATAATCTTCCTGCTATGCTGTAGTTTGCCCTCACCTGTCCAGAATCCCTCTGCTTCAACAGACGGTCACTCGTCAAATATAAGAACAGCCCATGAGACCATTCCTGCATCTTATATCCATCCTAAGCACTCATAACCCAGCATGTGTGTCTAAACTCTTTGTCTGTCTCATCCTGGACACTCATTTTACTTTATTTTATTTATTTATTTATTTATTTATTTGCTTTTTGGGTCACACCCGGCAATGCACAGGGGTTCCTCCTGACTCTGCGCTCAGGAATTACCCTGGCGGTGCTCAGGGGACCATATGGGATGCTGGGAATCGAACTCAGGTCGGCCGCGTGCAAGGCAAACGCCTACCCGCTGTGCTATTGCTCCAGCCCCAGTGGACACTCATTTTAGACCAGAAAGGATTCCTCTGCATTTGTTGTTTATAGAATGAACCATGAGAATAGAGCCTGTGGGGACTAGACAGCTCGGGCAGCAGGTACAGCTCTCCCATTGCACGGGGCCAACCTGGCTTTCGTCCCTGGCTTCCCAGAGGGTCCCCTGAGCAGCACCAGGAGAAATTCCGGAGTTCGTAGCTGGGAGTAAGCCCCTAGTCTTACCAGGGGTGGCACAAAGAAAAAAAAGAAAATGAAGTAGAACATGCTCAGTGACTGCTGAAATGCAGGCAGAGGGTTTCCGAGAATGGCATCCACTTCTAGATTTAGGTTTCTCTGCGTCCCATAACTGCAGTGAAATGAAAGGCTCTCACCTCATTTCGCCTCGGTCACGTGAGTTACAGAGCTCAGAGCCACACATGGCTATGTCCTGGCAGGATATGGCTGCAGAGGATTCCAAATTGGAGGTCAGCACAATTTTTATTTATTT